TAGATTATTTTTTATCGTACTATATTTAAGTGATCTGATAAATTAGTCGATAACGTTTTGATAAATCTCATATGTTCAAATACCTAGACGCGCCCTTTCAAATGGATTCGGCGATATATAGGACAACGCGTATGACACGCTGATTCAAAATCTAGATGTAACTAACTGATATTTATCAGTATAAGGTTATGGAGATTGTTGTTAAACATCAACACCGCCGGATGCCAGCCCAGTGGTCTAGAGGTCAAGCAGTCTCTCGTGAGACCTATAGTCTCGGGTTCGAGTTCCGTTTGTGGGGTCGTGGATTCGCACTGATGAGGAGCCCATACTAGAACGAAACGGCCGTCCAGTGCTTCCAGGTTTTCACTGGTGGTCTCAATAAAAACTGGTATTTATTCATGATAAATGCAAAACCAAGAACAAATGCCACAAAGTGCGATACTATAAACATCAATAAAATTCAGAATTTTAAATCATGGATCTTTCCCTTCCGAAATTTACTTAACATATGAGATCTTAGATGATCCATAGCTTTCATCAAGGATCGATGAACAGTCACACCGATAAACACTAAACAAAGTGAGTAATTAAACAGAGAGAATTCCATAGTCAAAATACAGAAGATTAAGTAGCTATGACAAAATCACATGACTGTCTGGATTTCTACGAGAATTCCATACTGTACTAAACATATAATACTGAATAAAGCCATAATAATAATAATAATAATAATAATAATAATAATAATAATTATTATTATTATTATTATTATTATTATTATTATTATTAAATAAAAGGTTAAAATATTATCAATGACCTATGAAGATAGAGGAGCATCACAATCACAAGTGAGAAAGAGAATGATGGATTCAACAGAAAACTGTGTTTGAGATGTGCAGCATGTATGCACAAAATTTACGTATGTTAATCAACATAAAGCATATTTCACATACACACATGAAGTAATTTTAGCGTCTTTACAGTCACACACTGCAAAGGTACATATCAATTCTATCGGCAACACGGGTAAAAGGACATTAGCCCAAATTGATACGGTAAAGCCATTGTCGTTAATGTGCATTAATAGTTATTTTTTATGTAATAAAATAGTTCTAGTCGACCATTAAAAATGTAGGCTTACATCCTATGTTAAATTTAACAATAATCGTTGTTTCATTTTATTCATAAAACATTCCATATTGATTCAGAAGGTTAGGAAGATATATATCTATGTATCTTTTAACACTAAAAAAACATCAGTTTTAGTAAGGAATAATCTCTCTTGAATTGCATGTCCCATATTTCGAGGAGGTTCTTGTAATAAAAGTGTTTGAAATGTTAGCTTAAGGATTTCTATCATAGCTCTTGTAACGGCAACTTATTGACTAAGGTTGGAACTGGTCGACGGCTAGTAATATATATATGAACATTTAGACAATTTCATATATACAGATGTTGATTTTTAGTTAGTTCAGTAAAGTAATGAGATACTAGAAAAGCGTTTCACTTGAGGGGAGATGAAATATAAATAAGCAGATATAAAGAGAATTGGTAAGACGAGTTAAGCTCTTTTTACACGCTATTGATCATTGATGAAGATTATTTACATTTTGTGACAAGAGATCAAAAAGGATTAATGGCTGTTTCTTCACTTAATGTCGAATTAGATTATATTCGCGTACTAGAGGACTCTGTCTAATGTTCACTTTTGATTGTTGCCTACGTGCGTAATTGAATTAAAGTATCGTGAAAATACTTAAAGGTTTATGTATTACCCGTTAATAGAAATCGGTATTAGATGATAATCACCATAGTCAATCTACACTTTAATAATGTTTCTGAAACCGATGAGTTAGAAAATCACATTATTTTGCCTTCGAAAAAGAACACTCATTATTTCAAGAAGTATATAATAATGAGAACCGAAATTGCATGAAATAAATATCTGTTCTGACTAGTATACCAGTAATTTCTTAATCGAAAGGATTATTGAGAGGCTGTCTAACTTAATCAGGTGACCATTCAGAACAAGCTAGTTCAAGATATTCAGTTAGTTTAAACTTATTTATCAAATACACTTACTTAGTCTTAAGCCACATTGTTAACAATGAAGGCTACTAATGTTGACAGACATAAATAGTATGTAACACTAATGGTAAGTGAAAAACCAGGCAGCAGAAGGTTATAAACGTCGACTTGAAGAAAACAGACAATAATTGTGACGTGAAAGAATCATACTGAATGAGAACGAAAAATGGTGGAATTTCGCAAATGAAGTATATAATGTATGGTTCTCATATTTTGCCAAGAGATTCTGTGATAGTTTCTTGAACCAATAACCAGATCTTTAATTTGCTGTAACCAGCTACACAACAAGTTACTCACAATCTACTTTCCAACTATATTATTACAAAAATGTATGGTCTTGATTTCAGTCAGTGATAGAATAGAGAAGCAGATTTTTGAGTATGAAACTTAGAGTGTAAGAAACACGTGTAAAAATAGTGTGTACATATCTTAACTGTAAATGTTTATGCTAATTAGGCCCTTTTAAAAAATCAAGTGAAATGAGTTTCGTTTTAAGTAAAATTAATATTTCCAAAAAGATTTCACAATATAAGGTATGAAAAATAGTTCAATGAAAAGTCCTAGTATGCATATCATTTAAATATGTTGACAATTGACAGGTGGTTGGAAGAAGTTAACAGGAATCCCTAGATATAGATTTTGTGTTAGCACCCATCAAAAAGACATGTGCGTAATCTTGACGGGAATGATACCCAACTCAGAGAGTTCAATGTTCAGTCATTTATACTAGTAGCAACATTAGAGGAACTTGATCATGATCCAATCACCACTTAAAGAATTGAACAAGCTCGATGTAAGTCAATACTCAACGATCAATTAACTGTGAATAGGATATTACCTCAATTACCTTATACGCATACATACAGACATATTCACAGAATCCTTCATGTGCTATATATTAAATAACCTTACAAGATTGGTTGATCAAGTCACTAGTGATGAGCTACATACTCAGGAGAAACAGCCGTTCGATGCTCCATGGTTTACAACTGTTTCCCAGTTATTATTGGTCTATAACAAAAGCTACATACAACCATTTTATTTAGATTTCGAAAATGATCTACCATCGATTGTATTTATTTACGACCAGTGTTAAACAATATTAACATGAGGATTAAGTGGAATTATTGTGAGAGGCACAGGACTCAAAAATGCAATGAATTATTATTTCTTTCAATTGAAATCTAGGAAAATAATAAAGACATCTTAAAGTCTAATACAATGCAATAGTCTAAATTGTTGGGGTGATCCTGAAAATTTCTCACAAAAGACAAGCATGAATCAGGAAACACTAAGAAGCATTTCATCCAATCAGCGTTCACTTGGAGTTTTAGCCAGAAACATCAAGGAAGTGAAACGTCACATGTAGAGTTCCTGATTGACTGATTGCCATACTGCTACTTTGTTTAGTAGCATCCCAGAATCGTCGAGCAGCCTAAGGACATTTAAAATATTATAAAAAACCCTATGTTTTCTGCATTAGAATGAACCTTTGGAGTAGAGTGCTTTTCGCTTAATTTACGCCTTTTCTCTCGTGTTCAGGTCTCTGCGTAGTTCTAGCTTGCAGGTTACCAGAATAGCTTAGGAACCGGATAAAGCGTTCAAATTAGAAAGACTTATCATAAATAAAAATTCTACTTAAATTAATACGATAAAAACATTTAATTCTTGAGTTTACTTCCAGCTAATCCGCTTAAAGTTCACCAGGAATCTAAGAATATCCAGAAGAAATATCAAGGTTCAATAACCACCTGAAATAAACAGTTAAAATAACGTAGCAGCACAAAAAGAGCAATAAATCACCATAGATACAATGCAACGGTTCAAATCATTTGTACATAGATGATATCAAACAATCACAGGTAAATTTAAACAAATAGTATAGAATACAAAGAACCAACACATTGTTGATAAGTCATAATGATAAGAAAATGCATCATAAATACAACTGAAAAAGGAGGGAATAACAATTAAACATTGACTGAGCTTGTAGATAATAGTGTGTAAACACAGTAAAGGAGATTATTTGATGAGGACATGTCGAGGTTTTCAAAACCATTAGGAACCAGTCACAACGATTGACAGAAAATCCCGTGAAGTTGTTTTATCTTTGTCCCCTTGACAAGCTCAATTTACGGAAACAGGTTTGCTTTCTCCATTGCTGAAGCAATCATTAACATTTTTCCGTATGTGCAGTATTTGCGAATGAATTTTATGGGGTAACCATTATTTCGTAGACCTTATTCGGTCATCTCTGATTTGCTATAACGTTTTTTTGTGAGCGATAGTTCTCTATCTTTTGGGACAACTTTGTTGATATATCTTCCTTTTAGATGTATTCAGTTTTTGACTTCCTCATTTCTTGACTTGGAAGTCCGACCAACGTGGAAGTGATGAAAGTTATTAGAAAACTATGCAGAAAACTAGTCCTACCATAGTAAGAATGAAATGAACCTGCATAATGCTTACAACTGGACTCGAAACTACCAGAATAAAGGTAGAATTCTCGGTGTATAATGTAAAGGTTATAGCATCTATGAGAGACAGGATGATTGGTTTGTTTAAATAGTTTTAAAACGTGGAGTCCTAATAAATGCAATCAATAGACTAAGTTGTTAAAAGGGGCTTGGATAGATTGTCGAATCTAATAGTTTACATCACGGACTGACCCTGGTCAGACTGCTATTGAAGACCTGGAAACCCTATTATGAGACTCCTCAACGCCTGTGCATTTGTTTTTTTTCTCTCTAGTTGATTGGTTAAAATCGCTATTGGTATTCACAATTTAAATATTAGGCTTGTGATTTGTATGTATTCCAACTTTGTGTACATAGTATGGCGTGTTTGATACGTACAGTTTTTCCCGAAAGGTCGATGATTCATGGATTATGTTCGCCTAATGTGGATGCTACATGCCTTTAGAAGAAATTCCAATGGAGGAGGTGAGTGTACAATTTTTAAACCTTCAGTGATAATTGTAGAAACGATGTTAGATTGTATTATTTAATGCCATAACCATTTTCATATTGATTGGTTTTTCATTGACAATAAGATAAATGAATTAGGAGTTCATTGTGCTGCTAGCCCAAATAATTTTCACAATAAACTAACTACATTTTAAGATAATTTATTATTTGATTTTGACATACGGTATAGGTTCAATAATGAATCGATATGCACACAAATTTATGTACTTGTTTTAGGTTCATTCTATATATACTTTGTCGTTTTAGCGTCAATAACATAAAATCATGAAGGGAATGTTTTTCACCCAGTAGAATTAAAATGATACTCTAAAGCCGACATTCAATCCTTATTTAGTAATCATGTAGACAGTAAAGAGGTGAAGTTAATTAACCAATTAATATACTTCAGAAGTTGCATTACACTTTATAGACTTGCAAAATTGTGGCGTGGATGTCTATAGTTTGGTTAGTAATTATCAACTATCATCATTTTAGCTATCGGTGGTATAATTGAACACCTTTCGGAAGAATTGTATGTACCCACTGATACATTCTATACTAATATATAGCCTATTGAAAATCTTCGAAAATTACAGGCACCCAAGAATGTATATCTTAAAATTATTGTTTGAGTATGGTAGAACCACTGAGTAAATGGTGTGAATATCACACGTAGAGTCCTAGACTAAGAAATTCAGTCGGTAAGATTATGAATCTACATAAAAGAAGTTAGCGAGATCCCCGTTAAGAAGCACTCCTTCCTCAGAATTAAAATAGAATTGTTAGCCAAATTTCTGCACCATAATTTACTAAAGCTAATGTAATTAAACAGTTAATAGAATGTCTTGAAGTTAATCGAATTTCATGAACCAACTTGATTTCTTCGGTAGAATGACACTATATCAACGACCTTGGACCACTTGTTGGCTAATCGAAAAATAGTTTTTAGTTATAAAACAAAGGATATGAAGAAAGCAATACCATTACAATGGATACACAGTTTTGACTCGAACAATCGGCCTTTATATGTTAAATTATTTGTCGTAAACAAAAGGACTGAGGTTAGGAGTGATAGTTGAGTTTTATGGTTAGTGGGAGAATTTGTGGTAGCCATAAAGTTGAATAATTTTGTAGATCTTTAAATTCAAAATTTTATGAACTGTTAAGTTACCTAGATAAATCCATAGATTATGTCTAAATGTTATGTACATTTCTAATTCAATTTACTTTCTATTGTTTTTTCCTGAGGAAACCTGCAACTCTCACCGTCATTTCATGGATCGCTCTAATCCATTTCTGTTCTTGGGTGTTTACGTGTTCATTAATTTTAAGCGCATTGGGAATTAAATACTGATAGATTTTACTCAGTTCTCACACAACACTTAACAAGGTACAAGCTAACTAACATTAAGTTTTAGATTTTATGCAAAAACGCAGGAGCTGGTATATTCAGTTGGTTTCTTTCTTTACATTTCACTGAGCTTTAGTATGGCAGTCGGTTTCGTGGGAGTTTTTGCCTTAACAACTTGTTTTGAGTCAAATAGGTCTTCGAATTTAGTTCAGACTTTTCTTCACGTTTTCTTTTTTCTGGTGCGTGATTTGTGTACCTCTGTTATAGCGAATTTCCTTAACTATGTCGCATACGTTTCGATTCATTCAGATATAGAACATCATCGCCTTGACTGATTCTCACATACCTTAGTATTGTCCACGTTTTGGTTCTTCTTATTCATAAATCGAACGTACCGGCGTCTCCAGAATTTGTTTCTGTAGTTCTGATAGTCTTAGTAACCAACAGTCCTAAATGACACGTTTTTGGTCTTATAGAAACCTTGAAGTCTAACCATTTGTAAAGACCGGAGATTATACCGAAACAATTATGTTTCATGATTGATGAAAGCTCTATCCGATGTTCAGTTCAAATTAGCAGTACGATATATCCTGTATTTTATTACTAGACACAGTTAAAATATTCAACAAACAAGAGACCCTGTTACTATCTAACCACGTTTTTGAAAGGCCAATAAATCAGAAAATAATCTATTTATTTTTGAATGTCAGCTACGGAATTAACAAAGTACTTAGAACAAAATTAAATATTTGGCTATAATTGGTTATGTCACAAACAATCAGTAAACAATTTCGTTAAATAACGTATACTTCATCAATGTTAGATGGTAAAACCCAGATATAGACAACTCAGGAACTCGCTATTCAGGCTTTTTTGATGTTCCGGTTGAACAGCAGTAGTGAGAAGTACATATTATCACTAGTTTAGTATAACTGTCATCCCTAAAACACTGAAAACATTCTCCAGTAATTCGTCTCAACAGTAAATTTATAATAAAGAATTCTAGAATGAGAATGCACCAACTTCCATTTAAAGTAACACTGTTTATAGAAGGTTTATATAAGTCAACCGTATAAGTGGATACTACCGTGTAAAATCATAAGATGTGGTTCTTTTGAATATTTAGTGAAAAAATATAGATTAATTGGTAGTTTTTGCGTAGCTGGAAGTTTTAAACTTTCGGCTTCAGGAAATACGTAGCTACAGGTTCATGTTATTACGGTCACAAAACATTTTCTACTCGGATTTCTGAAATGGTCGATTAACTGATAGAAGCAATGACCAGTTGAGTTCAACCGGGTCAGTTGTGAGATAGTAACTGACTGATGGCAATGGTGGATGTGTCGCTCAGTTTCGTGGATTACTTGAAGTTAGAAATTAACACCATTGGATGCCGACTCAGTGGTCTAGGAGTTAAGCGCAAGCGCTCGAGAATGGTAGGTCTTGTGTTCGAATCCCGCGAGGTGGATTTGTGGATAAGTACTTCTGAGGATTCCCACAATAGAACGAAACGACCTTCCAATGCTCCCAGGTTTTCCATGGTGGTTTAACTTCAATTGACTGATGACCTTAACTATTGAAATTACTACAATCTCCATGTAACTCCTGATAACTGATAATTGTTTACCAAGTATATTGGATATATCATGGAAATCCTTCTGACTGCACACAAAGTAAATAACTACGATTCTTAATATTATGACTGTAAAAGATCAAACAGATATTTTTCGGATTTCTGTTAGGTTTGTTTTTGATAAATTGTATCATTGTTGAGGAGCAAAATCGGCAGTAATCTAATGTAACAAAGTTAATCTCAAATTCTCACTTGTATTACATAGAAATCCATCGTTTTCAACACACATTCACGATAGTTAATCACTAGTAGTGATCAACAAAGTCAGTAGTTATCAACCACTTTCATTGCATGTCACTTTCTTAGAGTGCACGAAACTGTTTTACAGTCTCGAAAACCATATTCTTATTCTTTCATGGTAGCTACGTAACACCACCAAACACAGATCACAAAAGCAAATCACCAATGATCTATTTTCAAATTAGTCATTTGTAATCATTCGATTTATTTTTCATGTACATTATTCACAATAATAAAATAAATGTAAATAAGGTGATAACGGTTAAACTGCAGTTTTATTATTCGCATGTTTGTGAAATTCATAACTATGATAAGATTGCATGGATATGATGAGAAAACAGGTCAAACAATACAAGCTTTTTAGATGGAATGGCATATAAACTGAAAAATAAGTTTGTTCAGTTGACATAATTCGTAAATGTAACTGAATGATAAATGCACAAATATTATGTGATGATCATAAGCGTAGTCTGGACAAAGTGAATGATGCCAAATGAGCATAGTTTTCAAATAGCAGTATTTATTTAAGTCGATTTAGTTAATGGTGTTGATTATTCGTTTGGTTGTTCGTTTGTACTTGTTGTGTGTGACCTGACCTAATTGTAATATCACCGCCACAATGTCAATCTTGCTCGTCACAGTTTGAATATCGATTTAAAGTGAAGTACTCAAACTATTAAATTTTCGACGAGGTCGACCTGATAAAGAATCACCAAGTAATATTTGATCATGTAGATTGTTGACAACTGTTTTTGAAATTTTAGTTAAGCTGCCAATACTAACAAGATCAATTATTAAAAACATAGCATAGTCAGGTGTTTAATAAATACTTCAATATTATTATTTCCGAAGTCTCTTTCTGCTTAACCTACTTACTTACACCTGTTACCCTTCATGGAAGAGAGTAGGCCAATGTCCCTTCTAACAACCAGAGCAACAATTGATATAGGTAATTAAATGTCTGCTTAAGGTTATTTTTAATTCACTGTTTCTATCCATGCTTTGTTCGTTTTATTTTTCAATTTTACATTTGACTTATATGTTGTGTTGGGTCAGAATGTATGCCTTAATTTCACTGGGATATAAGTGACCTAACAAATCAGTGTTTGGTAGTCATTTTGTGTCAATTGACTTCAAATCATGTTTATTATGTGCTTGATGTTTTACTGAAGAAAAAATCTATTTTCCTGACTGGTGGTTTTGTTTTCTGATATCAGTTCAATTGAGAGCTTACTATGATAATTCAGTCTCATGAGCGGTCACTATTCGGCCAAACTGTATCGTTGCCTATTCAATTCATTCACTGTAACAAATACATTCATCGTTCAGTTATCAATTCCTTGTCCATAACCATGTTGTACAAACCATTTTCATAATCATTGGTTTCTATGACAATCTTATTATATATATTTTTTCAACCCCTCAATGACGTTTTCAGTGTGTGAATGAGAGTAACAAATCTTTTTCGTATTCTCTTTTCTGTTTATTTGCTTACTTCTGTCCCGGTGTTCTTTATTACTCGATCGGTTGTTGTTGATGTTGTTTTATGTTCTACGTGTGAATTGATTTTAGTGTCTAACTTCAAATTAAAAATAAAATGCCAGCCAATGGATAAATTATTTTCAACCCACTCATTTTCTTCCCGAGTTTTTTTTTTCTTTGTCATTTTCCTGCAACTAGATAGAATTTTATGTTATTGCACGTAATACATTTAGCTTAGGTTTTCTGAAAAGGTTAAATCAATTATAATGACAGAAAGGCTTTTTTTTAGTGCAGTCTGATAGCTCAAATAGCTATTCAACTTGAAGATCACTTTTGTTTGTCTCAATCAACAAACCGTCAAGTTGATATAACGTTAATTAGATTTCATCAATATCACTGTTATCTTAAACAAGTCTTTTTTTAAAAATAAAAAAACCACTTCACCATTTCATGTATTCATTATTTAGTAATGTGTTACTTTTGTTCTATAGATTTGTCACGAGTTTTTATGTTGTTGTTGTTGTTATTTTGTCTTATTTTATTCCAGTCTGTCAGAAATATTTTAACTGAGGAACAAATATATGATGATGAATGGTCAATTAGTAGAAATAAATTATACTTTATTGTAAGTTTTTGCAAATGTTTATTAATATGAATAATGTGTCGTATATGCAAGGTCATTTCATAGAAAAACAACATCAGTTATTCAGTTTAACCAGTATTCTCTATAGCTTGCTCTGAATCAGTTATACTTTAGCTCTTAAAATAGACCGAGAAATGTAGATTTATATGTGGCGGATCATTTTGTTACGTAAAATATGCAATTTTACAAGTTCATAATTTTCAAATTCGATTGTGTGCAAACACTGCTTGCTGCTAGGTAAATAATGTTTGTAGGTGAACCGAAATTAGGTAAGTGATTGACAGTAGTAATGATCTACAATAAAATAAAAACAAATTGTCTCATCAAAGTGGCATATCATTTCCAATATACCCATAGTATCCGGAGTATGTGATATCTGGAGCTGTATTCTATAATTTCATGTTACATTTTTTCTTATGATTGATCTAATTCGGCAATTGGTGTTAAATGTTATCCACTAACTAACGGTACATCGTAAAGTTACTAGAATACGTTTTACTCATTATTCATAATAACATTTCGTTTGACAGAAATGAATGATTTCGAGTCGCTCACATTGATGACCGTATGCAACTTGAACAGTAGAATTCAGTCAGCACTAGAGGACTAGACAAATATAACAATGATCATTGCTCAGTGACCAATCGATTGTAGATATAAAACGAACTTTCAAACTACTGCTTACTGGTATTTAATGATAAACGGGTAGTATTTCGTTTTCTATCAAAACTTTTTATCAATATAAGCAATTCAGTAGGAACTATTTCAAATGACAGAGTTAAAACCATTGAGAAGTGGTTACCAATAGCTGATTCGACAGAATGCAGTGTGGTATAACCTAGTGTTGTAACCTTTGGACATATGATTAATGCTTTAAGAATTTGTGGATCTAAGTTATGAAGTATTTTAAGTAGACTTGAAACATGGCTTTTCTGACCTCATTGTTTGAGTCCACTCTATCCAACAACTATCTCATTGGTTCGTGAATACTCACTTTGTGATAGAACAGAAATTAATGTATTTTAATCTATACTCACTGGATGATGTTGAATTCTTTAAACTCTGTAATCTATAGAACTTTATCTGCGGTTCTGATATTGCTAGTACTTTATTCTTAGCTATGAGAACGTATTGTACGTTATAGTTTCTATCATTTTGACGAGTATTTCTCATTATTCCCCTGAAGTACAGAAAATAATTCCGATATTTAATGACCAGTTCTTGTTATTAATTCATTCGAAATTATCAAAATATATTTACCGATCCCTTATGCATCAACTATTTACTTTCCACGAAAGCCATCGTAAATGTTATAGTTATTTTACCCTAATTTCTGATTCAAACTACAAAACTACCTCAATTTCGAAATATTCTCCCGCCTGGTAGCTAATTGTTAAGAGTGATTTCAGAAAATCTGTCAAATAAGTGAAAACTGATGTGATCACATTTTACTTATTGCACAATCACACTCATTCCAGAACCCTAAATTAGTAATAAGTTTACTAACTGATTGCTAGTTTAAAGTGAAAGTTATTCTCACTTGAAACTGGATCATAGATTGTAGTAGTTTCCTAACTACTTTTTTCTTCCTTTCTCTTACTGACTGTGGTTGAACAATGAAAGTTTCTGAACTTGATTAGAAAACACATTTTAATCAACTGTTAGGGCAATAGGGGTACTATATTTGAATGAGGATTTCATTAAATGCGGATATATGCAGAAAGACTATTAACTATGAGGAAGCACTAGTTAATTGCCTCATTGTACTATTAGAAATCGGTTTCTCGATAGAAGATAAAGCCTTGAAATGTCATCGCAATCTTCAAGGCTGAAAACTCGTTTTTTGTAAAAGATTAATCAAAAATACAATCAACTTACATTCCAGTAACCGCTGGGCTAACAGAAATGTGGTGTGGTAAGTTGGTTTAAAAAATTACAAACATTTCATTCCCAAAATAATAAAAATGCGTCCCACTAATATAACCGTTCTAATCAGCTCTAAAGTCAAAAATATCTCATTTCTCCATGTAGTTTGTCCTGATGAGATTGTTTAGAAAGACGGCTAAAGCTTCTTGTCCAAATCACCCAGCACAGAGAACTTAAAGACATAAACTGGTAATTTAAAATTTTTAATGTATATTTATGGCTTTGTCAAAGTAAATGGCATCATTAAGCCCAATTATCAAGGAGGAATAAGTTTCTATAATTGGTATACTAAACAGCTGAATCTTTTCTAACTAAATATCTGGTCTAATATCTGATAGATTTTAGAGTATTATAACCAATTCTCAAAACCCCTATCGATTAAATTTATGAGTCCATAACCTGTTTAGTTCAAAAAAGAATTCAATCAACAAAATTTACTTTGTATTGCTGTTACACTGTTTTAAGCTCATCTCTTCCATATAACACTAACAATTAGTTAGATTCCATGAACAATATCACGATCAAGTTTTTAAAGAATAGATGAAATGTGACTAGAAAACTTGTAATATAGTGGCTATATCAAGACAATTCACACAGGATACATATACGCCAACTAAAACTGGTCAAAATTAATTTAAGAATACCCATTACAAGTTGAATGACCAGTACCATTTTTTGATTGTTTCTATAGAATCCACAACCTTTATTGATGAATATTTGTCACACATTATCCTAAAGGGTGCCTAACATAATAATAAATACTTATAATGATGTGAATGCACTATGAGTGACATAATTTTATTAAGTTAAACTCATTTTTAGAAATAAAAAATTAAGGAAACGAGAGATTTATCGGTCAAATATAACTTAATTATTTGATTGACATATACACATGAATGTATACTATCCAGGATTTCGCTAATCGTCTACTGTTGTTCACACATTTGATTAAATTTTTTATCTGCTAAGATTATTGTTCAGTAGGTATTAAGAGATGTTTTAAACGTGAGTCCAGTGCTTTATAGGTCTATTGAACAAAACTCATATAACATGTACCTTTAGATGAATTCACTACAATGTATGGAGATTTTAGCAGTAGTCTGTTCAAATCTACACTTTCAGCTGTCAGATGGTATGAAATTGGTATTGTTCAGAGTTTAAACACCTTTCACGCAATCTTGAAATCCTATAGATGTAGACTTTTATGATATCTTATTAGTTTATACAAACAGGGAGGACATACCGATGAAGAATAGGGCATATTTCAAATCTCCGATATACCTAAACGGAAATCTTTTTAATAGTTTTGCTGCAATTGTATGGTGGTATGTTTTCTCGATAAGAAAAGGATGAATCAAAGTTTGCTCCATAACAGTGTGAGTAAATGAACATAAGAACTCAGATATTCTTTAACTAATACAGTGAATTTGTGAGTTCTTACTCCCTTCGAAACATTATCAATCAGCTTCACTGGATTCTATTCACATTATTTATACTTCAATGCCAGTACATTCCTCTGAGTTAGTTGATAGTTGAAAACCCAATAGATCACATGTGGTCTCAGTCTTTTAATAACAGACACACAAGTATATGAAGATTTTTATGAGTAAGTGAATTATTAACGTAGAAAAGGTCACTGTCTATATGTTTCTGATAGATTGGTAATCTATGAATATACATCGTATGTATACACTATTATTTGGCTTTTGGAAATACACCTGCCCACATAGCCTCAGTCTTTTTTCTCTGATTAGTTAATTGATCTAAAATTAATTGACTAATGTCGAACCTATATTTTGATACTAGACACGTGTAATATCTAAATGGATTTCGATTGGTATGATACTTGTCATAGTTTCTTGTAAAAAAACCCCCGAAATTAAGTTAACACAAAAGATTCTTACCATTACATGTACTTTAATGAATTTTTTCAAGAAGATCTCAACTGTGAATATTATTCATAGGAATTTTTCTTTTGTAACTTTTCATGTCAGTTAGGAAGGATAAAGGAAACACAGAATATGTTTTTCTTTCGTATGTAATTTTTATTAGCTAGTTATCAAGATAAAAGTTGGCGACCGACAATTTCGCTTAAGGTTATGGGTGGGAATTATCTTCCAAATAGTATTCATGATTTAAGCAAAATTCCTATTGGACATTTGAAAACTTTATCCACTACAAATAATGTATATTCCTCCTGTTATTACTTCCACATTTTAATTTATTCGGGTTCTTCATTAGTTGGATTCATGAGTTGATCTTAGCTCGACAACCATTAAAAACCTGGAAGCACTGTACAGTCGTTTCGTCCTAATATGCGATCCATCAGCATGCGCATACACGGTCCCGTATGCTGGACTTGAACCCTCATTATGATAATAATTATCATGTGCTCACTAGTGACTAGCTTCAAGATGGATTTCCTGGAGTTCTAGTGAGAAGCCGTGACCAGTAGAGTCCAATCTATGTCGGGTAGATAGGTATCTACCTCGCACAATGGATCAATGATTGCGAAAGATCATGGGTCGATTGAGCTTAGACATTAACACCGTTGGATCCCGGTTCAGTGGTCTAGAGAGTAAGTGTTCACTCGCGAGATCGAGAATCCTGAGTTCGAGTCCCGTATGCGGGATCGTAGAAGCGCACTGTTGAGGAGTCCCATACTAGGACGGAACGGCTATACAGTGCTTCCGGGTTTTTAAGTGGTGGTCTAGCTTAGATCTAATCGTGAATTCAACTATTAAAAAATTATTTGGTTTAGTTTTTTTTTAGTAAAATGTACTTTTTGGGTTGATCTGCCCTAATGCTTCCAAATATTTTAGTACTATTCGTAATGAATGAAATTTTATCACAGAGAAACAATGAAAAAAACCATGTTTTTTTTACTATTTTGGCTGTTATTATTTGCAAATCCAGGTCCAATTTTCTGTATCTGATTCGAATAAGATGGAACGTATCCTTGACAGACTAGCGTATTTCAATATTGGAAAAACACTTGACTCGTCAATTATGTAAGTGATTGTAATTGGTTTGCATTACTTGAATCTCTTTACACTGAATCAATGTAGAAAGTTTGTAGCTCAGGTGGAATTTCCTAGTATTATGTTGAATTCTCTGGGCGGGACAGTATCATCAGATCTTATTTCACATAGAAGTGGTCATGTTGAATATTCCATAAGTATCAAGTCGTAGATTTGTTCTGATGACATCGTATCCGACTTTTGTCCTCAGAGCTTCTCTTATTTTCATGTTTTATTTTGCTTTCATTAGCTGTTTTGTTCTATCGGCCACTTATCAAATGCATAATGAAGTGACAGTTGATGATGTAACGAAGCTTCACAATTATATATATGGGGTGACTAGTTCTGCTTCATACATAATTCCGGTATGAAGCTTTTTTTGGATGTTGTTAACAGGCTGTACTAGAATGTATAGTGTTTATTCAACTAATTATAACAATGGGTCCAAGAGAAAATTTATCTTCGATATTTTGTTATTCTATTTTAGGGTTACAGAGCCCACGATAAATGTTCAAAAACGTAATAAGTAAGTAGTATATAGGCTTGTATTTCACTTAATTGATCATGTGTAATAAAAATTACTGAGGTATTTTCAAATATTTGGTGTTGATGTAGCGTTCATACTACTAATCTCAATGACCGATGACGAATGAAATGAGAACTCTAATCGTAGTATTATTGAATATATGTTTAAATAATTTAAACCACCATCGTGTACGACGATAGAAAACAAAACCGATTTATAATAAGAAGGAATAGGAATCGAAATAGACTGGAACTGGAGTAGTATTAGAATGACACTAGAAATTGATCGATCTTTAATTGTATAGTAATCGTATTAGAAGGACCACTAATTACATTAGATGGAGTGAATTAACCTGGAATTGTAACAGACTAGTATGATCGGAAATGAACTAAAGTGTGCCAAAATAAATTGACTTACGTCCCGTAATAAAAGTGTATCTAAAATACATTCGCTACAGAAAAATGATCCAATAAGATAGAAAAATAAAGACACTATAGAAAGGTATGCGGATAATGTTTCAGGATTAGTAATAAAAGTGGTTACAGGACGAACTGCCAGTAGAAATGAATTAAAAAATTTGATAGTCACATGATTGACGTAGTCTTATGTAGTCCAAGAGCATAATCTAGTTATCTACGAAGAACCTTAGAATACATCCCTTACTGAATCATTAGTAAAACGAGAGTGAGCCGGATAGCAGTTTAGTTTGAACAAGAAAGAGATCTGTGTCTATAAGCCCATTGTAACTTAACTGAAAACGCTTGCATTCTATCTCTTATTGAGCACCAAATTAAAGATCGAATACTTGATTAAACAAGTCGATAATGGGAATGGATTCATTATTCTTTGATCCAAATCAATAATTTACTGAAAAAAATATTCAGGTCCAATTTCATGTTTTATTTGCATGAAGTTGAACCACTCGAAAATAAGGATCTGGGCCTTCGTTTTTTTTTTTTGGCAGCTGCTTGTAGTCGTATGATTATAGCAACTCACGTGCAATTGAGTTTGTTCTCATGTAACTCACTTAAGCCCTTTTGTTAACTTATTCAGCGGACACAGACGTCCGTACTATGACAACTTATTGTACCTTCATTATTGTAGTTCTTGTATGAAATATGTATGATTGAACATAGCTTACCGCCTACGCATATATTCATTCTGCTAGCTTTACTATTAGCTGCTTAATTGATTCGACGATCCATTTATTTCCCTATATAATATACATGTACATTTACACACTACTCTCTCGGTTCGCTGACTCATTCATTTGCCTCATCGCTTTATGGTCTGAGTTATCTGCTAATAAAACTGTAGTCGCTGCTTCTCTTTACCTTCTGATTACAAACACCGTTGAGGATTATATGGTAACGGTTACGAGGATGATTGGTCAACGAAGCACAGCCACTACATGATTCCTACATTCAAGAAATAAAATGATCAAATCATCAAAACGAAGCGTACATTATAAATCTTTTAATGAAGCATAGTATCTTTAAAGTCGAATTAATTTCATACCTGACTTTTAACTGTATAATCAATTATATATTGAATTGTTGAGATCATGAGTCAATTGAAGTTAGACCACCATGGAAAACCTGGAAGCACTGGAAGGCCGTTTCGTCCTATTGTGGGAATCCTCAGCAGTGCTCATCCAGGAACCCCCCTCGTGGAATTCGAACCCAAGACCTATCATTCTCGCACGATTGCTCTTAACCTCTAGACCACTGAGTTGGCATCCAGTGGTGTTAATGTCTAACTTCAACTAATCCACGAGACTGAGCGACACATCCATGATTGTCATCAGTGAGTTATTATCTCACAACTGACCCGGTTGAACTCCAGGATACACATCTTGATGCCAGTCACTAGTGATCATATATTGATTAGTATCAGAAGGGGTTTTGTGGGGATTTAAGTGATTTCATGATCTCAACAACTGAAATTACTAAAATCTCCACAAAACCTCTTCTGATACTGATTATATATTGCTTTGAATTTATCAAATTATTTGTACATAAATAAGATCAGTTGTACGCAATGGTTTTATTTCAAAAAAAATGTATCAATATGAACTTTTCAGAGTATGCAGCATTTAGTCTGATTGGATTTGTATATGGAAATAGACGTTGTCGACTATGCAATTCATGGGAACTGTTATTTGCTATTTTATTGCGCTGTTTTTGTTTAAAAGTATAAGCTACCGCTTCATCATAATTTATTGTTTAATTATTCAAATACAAATTAAATACAATCAGTAGTGTACACTGACACTATTAATGTGATTCGATATGTTTTTTATAAAACCAGTTAATAAAGCGTCACAAGCTGTGGAGTGAAAGGCATGAATAAAGATAATAATAAGTGATTAGTGTATGGCTAAATGATGATAAAAATTAAAATCTAATAGGGTGACTAATTAAACCAAATGTATTTCAGATCAAATTGTGGAAATTAAAACATATTATGCAATTTTATTACTGTATGTTGCATAGCCCCAGAAACTCATTACTCTTGCTATCCGATACGTATATATACGTTAAGAAAAAAAGTAAACAGTGATAAGTCAAGTATAATGTCAAGTTTCATAACATTAACATTAAATTATCTGAAAATTTACTCGTTTTCCTTAATGTTTATGGTACTAATTGTTATGTTCCGATAAGAATAATCAGTGGTAATTTTTGGGATCCATTTGTGGACCAATACTACGAGTATATATTTTTATCGTATAACTGTTAATTAACTAAACAATTCATATTCATATCTCTCTTATCATATGGTTTATTTTAACCTATGAACTATTATTCTACGATTTTCCATTCTTAAATTATTCCCTGTCCATTAATCATTACCTCCCACATTCACAGCCACATTTGGCCAAATCTTGTACAAATATTATTTCCTATTTTATGGTAAGTTGTGGTCTATTTGATTAGTATATAAACCCCGTATGTTTGAAATAAATGATTCATACTTCAGAGGCTAGTGTTCCAGAATTAACTGGCTGGGCTAAGCGTAAAACATGACCAATCAGGGTTCTAGACTGCTCATACGGGTTTACGCGTCATAGGTTCGATCGATAAGTCACTGATCTCTAATTGGTGGTATCGTTACGTTATACATTAACAGGACACACAGCCCACAAGTTATAACACTAAAATGAGTAGAGAGTTTTAAAAAGTTTAAACTAAATACTTATTTTGATAAGTTTGAATGATGCAGTGAGAAGACGAACTTGATCTTTACCTAATTGACATATTTATTTCTTCATAATATGTTTTTAACAAGTATATTAAGTGTGATCAGTTTGTTCGAAATGTATATATGGCTGATAATATCACATAGTTCTGATAATCTTCGTTTTCTTATTACACTATCCAAATGGTAAGATTGCTAATTCGAAGGAGAAATCAGTAAATCAATGGAGAAACAGAATTTCAAAAGTAGAAAATTATATCGTAAATTCCTAATGGTTATTTAAAAAAAACGGATTTCTTTTAGTCTCTGTAGTTTTGTGAAATTTTTGAAGATTAATATTTAAGAAAGATAGATTATTTTCTGTTGAAATGTAAGAACATACAAGCTTCGAATGGATTCCACTATTAATAACATCATTGTGTTATTCACCATGTTAATCCATGGAACAAACATAACACTAACTGATATGTTTTGGCAATAACATAAATCGATTTACTTGATCAAAAAAACCCATATTGCTTATTTCATTTCCTATATGGAATACTTCTTTCCGAATTCATGTAAGTGTGGACAGAACAAATATACTTTCTGTCATAATGAATAAAAATGAGAGAAAAGATTCCAAAACTGATACTGAAACAATATCTATGGTGTCGTATTTTCATTGTTCAGTTGTCGATATAGCACAAAACTGTGTCGTTTTATTAATCCCCTTCGATGAAAATAATTTTGTTTGGTTTATCATAATTTAGTATCATTAATGCTTTTAGCGTAAGGAACTGATCTCAATGTAAATTTGTAGACAAGCCTTTATGCTTAAAATAATGATTTCATAGCTATAAGAGATTTATTCATGATCATATTGTAGTGAACGTAGACACCAATGGGGACAACCAAATGTACGTGAATACAAAATTACAGAATAACTTAGTCAAATTTAAGAACTACATAATTATTAGGTATCATTAGCACGATCTGACCTGATAATTTCGAATAAATTGAACATTGAGTACATTGTTATAAATAAATGAAATAATATATTTGTAATATCCCAATGAGTAGAAAAATGAGATTTTCTGACGTTTCGTGACTCAGTGTAAGCCACTTCAGCGAATTTTATTATCTAATCAAAGTTTTCCTACTTACTTAAGTCTGTTACTCCTCGTGAAGGAGCATAGGCCGCTCACCAGCATTCTCCATCCAACCCCGTCCTGGGCAATCCTTTCCAGCTCTTTCCAGTTGTTGTTCATCTTTTTCATGTCTGCTTCTATTTCCCGACGTAATGTGTTCTTTGGCCTTCCTCTTTTACACTTACCTTCAGGATTCCAAGTTAGAGCTTGCCTCGTGATGCAGTTTTATGATTTGCGCAATGTATGTCCTATCCATTTCCATCGTCTTTTCCTAATTTCTTCTTCAGCTGGAAGCTGATGGTATCCGGCCAATGGATGTTCAGTATCCTGCGTAGATAATCATGTACAGATACTTGTACCTTCTTGATGATGGTTGTAGTAGTTCTCCAAGTTTCAGCTCCATACAGTAGAACTGCCTTGACATTCACATTTGCTCAGATCTCCTTTCTTTGGAATCTTGATGAGGTGTCCTTCACTCCAGTCCATCGGCACTTGTTCCTCCTCCCAAATCTTTGTGAATAGAAGGTGAGGCATGTTTGTAGTTTCTTCGATGTCGGACTTCAGTGCTTCAGCTGTTATGTTGTCGGGTCCTGCTGCTTTCCCGCTCTTGATTTGTCTGATGGCCATTCTGATTTCTTCCGTCGTTGGTGGATTGAAATCTCTAGGAAGATCCGTGTGTGTTGCTTCCATGTCCGGTGGATTCATTGGAGCCGGTCTGTTAGGGAGTTCCTCGAAGTACTCTGCCCATCTGTTCCGCTGTTGTTGAATTTCAGTGGTTGGCCTGCCTTCTTTGTCTTTGGTCGGTCTCTCGGGTTTACTGTATTTCCCTACTAGTTTCTTCGTTGTATTGTAAAGCGGTTTCACATTTCCTTCTCTAGCAGCTTTTTCCGCCATCGTTGCTAGTTCTTCCACGTATTTCTCCTTGTTGACTCTAATGCTCTTTTTCACTTGCTTGTTTGATTCTCTGTACTCAGCTTGTGCTTGGACTTTCTCTGCTCGTTTTCGGCTGTTTTTAATTGCTGTCTTTTTGTTCTTCCTTCCTTTGATCTTGTCCAGAGTTTCTATGGAGATCCACTTCTTATGATGATGCTTGTTGAAGCCCAGAACCTCTTGACACGTTGAAGTCAATACTTCTTTGATACCTTTCCGGTTTTCCTACATAGTAGTTTCTTTTTCTTCCAGTAGATCCTGTAAGGTTTGGAACCTGTTGTTGTGAGCTATCTTGAATTCATTGGGTTCGTCAGTATCTCGAAGGAAGGCTGTATTGAACCCTTGTAGTGCTGTCTGTCCAGTGCTTCTTTATCTTTAGTTTTAAATTGGCCACAACTAGGTGGTGATCTGAAGCTATGTGTGCTCCTCTCCTGGTTCTCACATCTTCCGTTGTCCTTCGGAATTTTTTATTGATGCAATTATGATCTATCTGGTTTTCTCTGGTGTGAGATCTATGTAGTTTTGTGTATACGTTTGTGTGGAAATATTGTGCCACTTATGACGAATTTGTTGAATGCACACAGATTTACAAATCTCTCCATTTTCGTTTCTCTATCCCAGTTTATGTCGTCTTATTATATCTTCATATCCGAAGTTGCTTATTTTGACTTTCGAGTTTAGTTCTTTCATCAAAATGGTGAGGTCGTTTCTTGGGCACTTCGCTATGATTGATTGCAGCTGCTCATATAATTGATCTTTAATGTCGTCGTTCCTATCATTGATGGGTGCATAACATTGGATAATGTTCATCGTGATCTCCTCCTTCTTTGTTTTGAATGATGCTTTGATGATTCTGGATCCGTGAGGTTCCCATCCTACGAGTGTATTTCGTGCTACATTGGACAGCATTAGAGCAACTCCCTGAGTATGTGGGTCATTTTCCTCTTCGTGACCGGAGTATAGCAGCATCTCTCCCGTATCTAACCTTTGTTGTCCAGCTTGGGTCCAATGGTTTTCGCTGATTCTCAGTGCTGCCAAATTGTATCTCCTCATCTCTGTTGCAATTTGACTGGTCTTCTCGGTCTTCCACATTGTTCGGACGTTCTATGTACCTATAAAAATTGTTGCTCTGGTTGTTAGAAGGGGCATCGGCCTCATGGCTTCCGAAGGAACTCAGCTTTCACCATGAAGCGTCATAATCCTTCCAAATGAAGACCTTCTAACTCCCAGGGCAGGGTTTAAATGGTTTGAGTTATTTTTCCGTTTATTTTTTTACAGGATGGGGTCGCTAACCCCATGCCCAACTCTCCTTCTTTACCCGGGCTTGGGACCGGCAGTAACTCTAGAAGAGCTACAAGCGGAGTTAATCTGGGTTTTCTACTCATTGGGATATTACAAATATTTTATTTTATTCATACGGTAAATAATTCATTTGCAAAATGTCAGTCAGTTGTCTCAGACTTCATTGTTGCTTCGTTTTCACACCAATCATTCACTGTTCTCGTTCTCTTCTCTTCGATCTGCCTGACCTTCAGCCTACAGGCGCTTCACTTTCGACTGATGATACATACTACTTATATCTGCCGACATCAGAAGCACACACCACATTATCTTTTCATTCTTGTTTAACAACCTTTTAGAATTATATTTTTTAGGCTGACGACTATATGTTGTTGTCAAAGTGGGAGGCTAGTTTTTTCTAAAGTGATTTCATACCGTTTTTCACTTGATTCAAAAAAGTGTGATTCCCTCTCACATGACTGTTAGCATTTGAATTATAATTCATTAATAATAAGACACTTCATCATTGACGCAAATTCCTTGGATTACAATGATGTATCCTAATGTTAATATTTTGAGCGTTATTTACTTATGTATTCAAATTAATTTATCATTTATTTTCTCGGAATTATTGACCAGCGCTAGCGTAAGTCATAAATTTGATTTCATTTAAAGAACAAATACTAAATCAGAAATCATACTGATTTTATGAAAAGCGTCATTTATTGATCTGGTAAACCTTTATTTGTTAAGGTAGGGGTTTTGTAAAGATTGTTCATTTTGATGTTAGTTCCTACTAGAAATTGATAACAGCTCTAAGAAACGCAGGACTGTAGGCACTTTTGAACAGCGCTTTCTTCCTATTTTGTGATTTAACAGTAAAAGTAATGCACGTTCATCACCTCTAACCGAAGTACCTTCATACAATCATTTATTGAAATAATAACTACCTACGCAGTAACTAGGTTAGTAACTAGGTTCTAGAAGAACTTCTGAGGTTCCAATGATGGGTCATGACCAACTTAATCCAGCTGGATGAAGAGTGAGACATATTATGATATGTATTTTGACTTAGTAGTTTATAGGTATCGTGCTCACTACCAAGAAGGTCAGGAATTCCTGGATTCGATCCCTGATGTATGAATGCTGATGATTACCTTCAGACTAGAACTCTAGGCGGCTGTTTAGTGCACTTTGGTTTTTCTGAGTTCCCATAAAATTTCAGTTCCCAATCAAAACTAAGGTAAAATCTGCTTTTATTACAATCAGCATTCCACATAAGAGTTAACAATGAATCTGGTCAATTAAGTAAACAAATTAATACGGCAGTCTTCCGAAAGGTTCCTTGTTTATTCATATTTATAAAAGTGAATTTAAAACACACGAAAACATTAGATTTCTTACTAATGCTACAAGATAACCAGTTGTTATGTTTTTAACCATGCGGTTAGACAGAAATTCACGTTGTTCCACGTATTTAACTGAAACTTGTTGAGGGTGGTTAATGTCAACCGGCTGCTTATTGTTCATATAGACATTTTATTGGACCTTAGTTCAAATGGGTCATTCCCGTTGTTTAAACAAAGGAAAAATTCAGGACGCTAAAGCCTACTTCGTCCCTAAGGTCCAGACTTCCTAGCTGGCCCTACACAATACCATTAATCACTAGTTGGTGATATTAGGTAACTTGAGTCAAAGTTGGTTACAGTGGTACAGTTGTACTCATTCTCTATCTTCCTCAAAAGCTTGAATCAATTGTCATCCCTATCTTCCCATCCTTTCATCTGGTTCGTTCATTTTAAACTATATTTCTTATGGCTAAACTTCTATTAGGGTTGATATTATCTCCCAGTACTTTATTTTTATCCCATTTTGGAGATTTTCTCCCTCTCTATTGATGTGAGGTGCTGAAGCATTTTGGGAAAGTCAGCATTTATAACAGATTTTAAATTACTAATCACTGACTATGCAAACCCAAAAAGTCCATGTATTGCAAAAAGTTTTACTAAACTAGAACATAAATTGATAAGAGATTTACTCATTGTAAACATTAAGTTTTCCTCTTTCGGCAGCTTGAAGAAAGCATGTCTATTTCCCTACTTCTTTTAATGTTTATAAAATTGGTTGTCATTATATCGATTTACCTGAACTATTCAGTAGTAACAGTAGTAGTAATGTGGTGTGTGTTAATTGTATCGACATAAGTAGTATGTGATGTTAGTCGTGAACAGGTCTGTCAGCAGGGAAACAAGAGGGTCGAACAGTAAAGAATCGAAACAAGATGCAATTTGTATGGAAATCCAAGAACAATGAAGTCTGAGTCATTTTGAGACAATCGATGGACATTTTGCAAATTAAGTATTTACTTTATGATTGTTAGATTTTATTAACAAGTCCTGTAATTTTGTGTTAAATACATTCGATTGTACCCCACTGGTGTTCTTGTTCACTACAATAAAAGCATCAATGTTCTTACACTCCTTGCATCAGATTATTATAGTCTTAAATTACCTGTCTTATCAAAATTATTTATCTCCTTTCATTTTCAGAGGAGAAAAATCCGGTGTTATATCATATTCGGCAATTCAAAACTTTATTGGAACTCTGAAATCACGATTGTGTGTTGCTCAGGTATACCACTTTTTTTAATCAAGCTACTGTTTCTATTTTGTGAATATGAGTTCTTTGCAAAAAAATATCAAAAATATAATCGAAATTATTAAATTTGAGTTATTTGTTTATTATTGTTATCAATTCACTCACCTTTCATTCTTAAAACTCTTCCCTCATTATATTTGTAGTTTTATTCAGCTCTTTATGTGCGTTGTGTCGTTTTTGTTTTGTTGATTTATCTAGAATTAGAAGCGTCATGAGATGACTGTTAGTTCAGGAGTAATTAGCAAATTACACTGAAAACATCTTATATTCACAATTGATTGATCACTGGGTGGTGATCAATGTCATGTGTGTCAAGTTCTTCTTAGTGCAGATTGAATGCTATCGACCAAGTTGCAATGTGGCCACTAGTCTAGGTGACTCGATACTGCGTGCATTATGTTGAGATAAGATGGTGATTGGAGGTAGTCAACAGGAAACCCGGGTTCAGGGTTTATTATATATAGGTTACAAGTCATAAATTTTGTTTGTAAATTAAGCGTGTGTATATCATGTAACTGAAAGGATATATATTTGAGTTGGTGTCAAATAAACTATGTATACAGATTTAAAATATCTGAGGATGTTTGTGGTAAGAGAAACAATTATAAATGATTACTGTTAAGTGTACAACTGTTAGAGCTCGATGGTAAATCAAGTTGGTTATAACCAGTATTATAACATATAACAACACGTATTCAGTAATCCAGTAAGTGGCTGGATTGTCTATCCTGACTATGACACACTTATCTACAAATGTTTCTCTGGATATCTGGATAAGTATGTAGATTTGATTCTCCAAGAAACAGTAGAAATGAAATCATACACAAATGTAAATGTTTGATTACTCTTCATTATTGAGGCAAACTGATGAATATTCTTTCCTATCGGTTCATAGTAGTGACATATTTTTTATATGCATTATAGATTATTCGTAAAATAATTGTTGAGTTTATAGGAAACTTCCTTATTTAAGTAGTGTAGTGTAAAACAATAATTGTCACTTTTCATCATGGAATATTTATAATTCAAAAGTGTTGGTAGCAATTCTTTTACTTGAATTAAATTTCACTCTGGGCTGGATAAATTTCAGACTGTTACTGATTTTCATCTTATCCAATTTATTAACACTTATTTTCCCTCAAATTCGTCTTTTTTGGTAGATTATGTATGTTATTCTTTTCAAGCTTATGTATCTTTTATAGTTCACACGACGAATTCATCATGATTAAACAAACATTGAAATCCAAAAAGCACTGGATGACCATTTCGTCCTAATACAGATGCATCCACGACATCAAAACATTCAGATCTCGCGACGAACGCCTAACCATGCGACCACTGGGTCGACATCCAGTGGTGTACATGTTTAGCTTCAATAGATTCGTAATAAAACGCAACCATCTTACAATGTCATTGATATGTAACTGCATCACACTTGACATGGCTGAGCTTCACTATTTACGGCTCCTCACTAAAACCCCAGGAACTACCCTTGGAAATTAGTCACTAGTGAACAAACCACTATTAGTTACTGTAGAGGGGTTGCGACGATTGGTTGAACTTTTTAAGTTACATCATGGACTGATTCTAGTTGCTCATCTTATTTTATGTAAAATTGTTTGTTTACACAATGCGAATGCTATGAAATTATTATATTTGATACACATATTTCATTACTTATAAACAGAAACTATTAAGGAGTTAATGAATTAAATGGTGGGTAAAAATCAACACCATTATTCACTAATCACCTATGGGGCCGAATAACTTAGTATTTTTTTTACAACGTGCTCAGCTTTGTCTATTCAAAAGAGTCTTAACGAAATTATGGAAGGATTTGTCTCACGAGTGTCGATAGTCTTTTTCAAGGTCAAGACATACATAACCATATTCTGTGTAAGGTGTTAGAATCAGTGTTTTACAGAACTACAAATGATATTGTTAAAATGTCCATTGATACTTGATATACCATCTTTTGTTCGGTTTAAAATTATCGCCACTCAGACCATAGATAATACATATACCTGTCCGATTAAGAACATTTTCACATATCAGTATCTAATTATTCATTAGATAAGAGAAGTTTTTAGAAGAAACAGCAAAAAAATTTGTCTTAACCGACGCACCTTTTTTATTATCCCCTAGTTAATAACAATTTCCTTCAGAAATGTTTTTGCTTTTCTCGATGACCTCATCCGTTAGTCTTTACTTTAACCCATATCTAAAATTAGTATTATCTGTTATGGATTAATGTCCATTGATTTATCCGTTGTGAATTAATGTATGCGGTAGTTTCCATATCACTTTGTGTCCATGTTGTGTTTGAACAAAAAATATATTTGTCTGAGTAATTAAGGGATTTATGTTCTTTATGTCTTCACTATTTACTCTTTAGTTTAGAAAAATAATAAACGGTCTTTTCGATGTACAATAATAATTATGGAGTTCAGCTTGTTTATAATGTGCGATGAGTTTATTATATAATAAAACTTACTTCGGAAGAAATCATCTGCCATTGTTTGATCAACACGGTTGAAACATCGCAACACTTTCCCACTACATAGAATAAAAGCTCCTTAATGTATTTCGCGACTATTAATTATGAACGATTAAGCCTTTGCTTAATGAAGTGAAAAAAATGTAATTAGTTTATGTTTTTTATTCCGCAGCAAAAAGTTGATCTATTTGTATAATGGACCGATGGCAGATAAACTTAAAATGTTATTTTATGTCCATGTTATATACATTTTCTGACTGCATCGTTTTCCTGAGATCGATCCAGATCGAACAACTTGCATGATTTCAATTACGACTATATTCTTGGCTCATTTTCATCAAAATGCTCGTTAGTATGTTATGATTTCCCGCTCTCCGTTCTTAACTGTTTATCTAAAAATTCAAGGTAGTTTCATGTTTATATACAATCAGTGAAAACCATAGTATTGTGATCTTGAATTCTATACGTCAGCGAAATCGTTTCTTGTTCCGTCCACTAAACAATCGACTATTAAGTGATAAAAAGTACTGACTTTGATAAGCCTGAAATCACTCTCTAAACCCAATTACGATAATCACTGGCAAATGGGCCTGTTTTTTTCTTTTT